AAACTAAAATATACAAAAGTTAGGACATGTATAAATGTTTCTATTTTTACATATACTGCTTCAATATGGTCCTTTGATTGCTTATTTTTTAAATTCAAAGTAGTTACTAACATTTAAAATTTAACTGTAGAAGTCAATAATTGCTAAGGACATACATTGAAGATGCAGGAAAATATAAATCAGGTAAGTAATTGAGTAATAAATGAGGTAAAAGATAATAAACAAATTGCTTGGTATTATTATTGTTTACTAGAATTAAATATATTACACTGCTAATAAAAGTATAAATATAAAAAGTATGCAATTTCACAAAAACAGAAGATTTCTACATTGAAGTTGCTGAATGCCTGGTTTGAAGGACGCATGGACATGTACAGACTTCATATACCAATTATTTTGTTGTATATTTTTGTCAGGCAGTTATAAAAAATGTCTGCATTGATATGCAACAATTGCAAAGGTATTTCAACAATTATCTGCAGCAGATGGCTCAAAGGAACCTTTCTAAATTTGTACTATGAGCATGTACGAGGGGGTATCATTAATTAGTGAGACTTTTTTGAGGCAGCATCTTATATTCATTCAATTGCAATAAAACTTGGTAGGTATATGCCCTTGGGAATAGGGTATTGAATGAACACACTCATTAATTTATTTTCATAGATACCTAGCAACAGCGGTTACCATGGCAACGGTTGCTAGGGGTTGGTGGAGCAGCTAAAAAATTACCAGAAATAAGGGCACTTTTTACTATGTAATTTTTTACAAAATGACAGTTTCTTTTCAAATTTTGTTTACACAGTGCCCTGAGGTGGTTGTTATGACAACACAACCAATTATGATGTCATCTCTAGTACATGATGTCACAAATGGCTGTGACATCAGAGACACGGCCATTTTGCAGTACTTTAGGGTGGAGCAAAATTGGCTAAAATAGGGATGAATTCCAAAGAACTCAATGTTAACATAAGATCTGTTATAAAATACAATGCAATCAGAGGTATTCCAGCACTAGACACCTTAAGGGGCCTACATGAGGTGTATGGACAGGAAAATGTGAAGCGGTCAACTGTTTACAGGTGGTATTCTACATTTAAAGATAATGGAAACCACACTGTTTTTGATGCTCCCAGATGTGGTCGCAAAGCTGATACCGTGATTCCAGAAAACATCAAACTTATTGAAGATATGATATCTATGGATGGTAGACACACTATTATTGAACTTTGTATTATGTCTCAGCTGGACTCGACAAATATTCCTCAGTTCAAAAGATTCTAACCCAAGAGCTATCTATGACTCATGTTAGCGCACATGAAATATAGAGAAATTGGAAAATTTGCATAAAATCTTGAAGTTTTTTTATATTAATAACTGCTCCGGGTCACTGGTCATGATGTCACATAGAAATCTCTTAAACCACTATATGATAGAGTTAACTAATCAAACTACATTGTAGCATACTACCAAGATGTTATTTGGTGAAAATATCAATGCAATTGAAGCAAATTTGAAAAAGTTATGGTACTTGTCTCACAAATTAATGATACCCCCTCGTACAAGGTTACATGCTAGTGTAACCTCAACCATTCTTCATAAACACTCATGCATTTGACATGTACTTCATTTATTTAAAATTTTAATTACCTACTTAATCCCATCCTGCTCCCCAAAAAATCAAAAATTTTATCCTTAACTTGGAAATACCAAGTTAAATGCTAAGTTGATCCTTGTAAGGTTAATTCTTCAGGGTTGATGGTGATATTATATAAGCAATCCTGAGGAGATTCATTGAGTTTCACAGACTTTTGGCTAAATCCAGATGAGATATGAGGGTGAACCCATGGCTCAAAGTAATTGGTCATTATTATCTAAGCAATGCTGAGTAGTTTTGTTGATTTCCACAAACATTTGGCTGGATCCAGATGAGGGTGAACCCATGGCTCAAATTAATTGGAAATATTATCGAAGCAATGCTGAGGACTTCGTCGAGTCCACAGACTTTTGGCTGGATCCAGATGAGGTATGAGGATGAGACCATGGTGCAAATTAATTGGTCATATTATCTAAGCAATCCTGAGGGGTTTTGTTGATTTCCCTCATACATGATCTGGATCAAGTCAAAAGTCTGAAACTCCTCAGCATCACTTAGATAATATGACCTATTAATATGAGGATGCTGAGGAGTTTCCTTAAATTCCACGGATTTTTGGATGCATCTGGATGAGGTTTGAGGGTGAACCCATGTCTAAAATTAACAGGTCATTATTATCTAAGCGATACTTAGGAGTTAAGTTTACCTCATGATTAAGTATCACTCTTAACTTGAGGCTCCTAAAATGGAATAGTGAGACTTACCGTTTGTTAGCTGATCCATGTAATACACCGTGTTTGGATTTTCACATCTGATTAGATGGCTCTTGTGGTCTCTATTGGGGTCTTCCTTAGTTATATGATTAGGGCACCCAGATACAGGCTCCTGTATATGCTCAGGCTGCAAATAGATTGGTAGCGCTCGGATGACACTACCAAGTGGAGGGCTCTTGGAACACTGGAACTTGGTACACAGCGAAGCTAGATTGGCAAACAACTTCTTGGAGTTCTTCGTTTCTTTTTGCTCTTTGCCAAAGCATACCTCAAACCCACATTGACCAGGATATTATCATTAAGATGTGTATTTCCATTCTGTGTTCCATCATTCAGTTGGGACATCAACTCCGCAAAAGTGTCCTGAGAGATGAGATTATGAGAATCAGGGTGTCATCTAAATTATTTTATGTAATTACGACGATGTTTTGGCCTATGGTAAGCTAATTTAGCGATAAATGTCATTTAAAGTTGGCACTGTATACTGAAGTCCTTGACTGCGGAATTAGTGCTTTATAGTACTTTACACATGTTTCATATTTTAAAGTGCCAGTGAACTGCTCAAATTTTCGTAATTGTAATTCGTCTTATAGTCGTATTGTTGTCACAGTTCAACCTTCTTACCCAGAAATTTGCACATGTAGCCTGAAAAAGACGTTGTATTAAATGCTAAGTAAGAAGTCAAATGAATTGGTCATATAGTGATACTGAGGAGTTTAGTTGATTTCCACAGACTTTAGGCTGACTCTGGATCCAGCCAAAAGTCGGTGGTACTCAACAAAACTCCTCGGAATCGCTTATGGCCAATTATTTGTGTAACCTGAAAAAGATGTTGTAATAAATGCTAAGTAAGAAGTCAAATGAATTGGTAATATTATCTAAGTGATACTGAGGAGTTTCGTTGAGTTCAAAGGACTTTTGGCTGACTCTGGATCCAGCCAAAAGTCGGCGGAACTCAACAAAACTCCTCAGCATCGCTTATGGCCAATAATTTGTGTAACCTGAAAAAGATGTTGTATTGAATGCCAAGTAAGAAGTCAAATTAGTTGGTCATATTATCTAAGCGATGTTGAGGAGTTTAGTTGAGTTCCACAGATTTTTGGCTGACTCTGGATCAAGCCAAAAGTCTTTGCAACTCAACAAAACTCTTCAGCATCACTTATGGCCAATTAATTTGACCTCACCCTCATATCTCATCTGGATCCAGCCAAAAGTCTTTGGACCTCAACGAAACTCATCAGCATCTCTTATATAATATTTTCAATTAATTTGAGCCATGGGTTCACCTTCATACCTCATCTGGATCCAGCCAGAAGTCTGTGGAACTCAACGAAACTCATCAGCATCACTCAATGAAAACTGGGCAGTTGAACTCCAAAAGTGTCACTCGCACTTTAAAGTATGAAACATATGGCAAGAATAAAGTAATATGGCAAGAATAAAGTAATACGGCTACTATGAATGCAAGGTCACAGGAAAAAATGAAGTATTCAGGATTCCACGTGTAAGAACTTCAGTATACAGCTCCAACTTTAAATGACCTTTATCGCTAAATTAGCTTACCATAGGCCAAAACATTGTCGTAATACATAAAATAATATAGAAACAGACTTATGAGACAAAATGACAGACCCTGATTCCCATCATCTCATCTCTCAGGACACATTTGCGGAGTTGATGTCCCAACTGAATGATGGAACACAGAATGGAAATACACATCTTAATGATAATATCCTTAAGATATATAATATCCTGGTCAATGTGGGTTTGAGGTATGCTTTGGCAAAGAGCAAAAAGAAACGAAGAGCTCCACATGGTTATATTCTGAAACCCTCAGACAACTTATGAGACAAAATGACAATCCCTGATTCTCTCAGGACACGTTTGTAGAGTTGATGGCACAACTCAATGATGCAACAGAAAACGGAAACTTCACAAGTCTTAATGATAATACTCAACTTGAATTTGGGGGTAATGAAGTAAAGACAACATTCCAGATGGAAAATGTAGAAAGGAGTGGGAAGATGCAGGCCTCTTGGAAAGACTCCAAGAAAAATCAAATTCTCAATAAATGGAAGGGAATGGAAAGGGAAGATGCAGGCCTCTTGGAAAGAAATCCACAAGAGTCAGATCTTTAACTCCCAGAAAAATCAAATTCTCAATAAATGGAAGGGAATGGGAAGGGAAGATGCAGGCCTCTTGGAAAGAAATCCACAAGAGTCAGATCTCTAACTCCCAGAAAAATCAAATTCTCAATAAATGGAAGGGAATGGAAAGGGAAGATATCCAGAAGAGTCAGACCTCTAACTCCTAGAAATATCAAATACTCAATAAATTCTGGAACACTCTCACATAGAAGCAAATATGCCAGACAATGTGTAGTTGAATGAATTAGTTTGATATCTAGTTAAGTATGTCAAGAATTTAATGTTGCTCAGTACAATCAACCTAAAAGAAATGATAATAACAAGATTAAGCATTATACATAGATTATGCATTATTCATATTATGTTATTGAATTTTTTCTTTGTATTCTAAGTTTCTGGGTAAGAAGGTTGAACTATGACAACAATACAACTACTCTAAGAAGAACTTACAGTTACAAAGATTTGTGTATTCAGGATTCCGCGGTCGAGGAGTTCAGTATACAGCTCCAACTTTAAATGACATTTATCGCTAAATTAGCTTACCATAAGCCAAAACATCATCATAATTACATAAAATAATATAGAAGCAGACTTATGAGACAAAATGAGAGACCCTGATTCTCATAATCTCATCTCTCAGGACACTTTTTCAGAGTTGATGGCACAACTCAATGATGCAACAGAGAACGGAAACTTCACACGTCTTAACGATAATATTCAACTGGACTTTGGGGATGATGAAGTTAAGACAACATTCCAGATTGAAAAGTTTATCATTTCGGGAACTGGCAGAAGTACGGTATATACAACAATGGTGAGACAAAAGAAGCTTGCTGAAGTAGATGGCCTAGCATTTACCATAGTCATTGGACCAACACCTATTGCATGGCAGAAAGGAGTGGGAGATGCAGGCCTCTAGGAAAAGGATTCTCCTAAATAAAAATCAAATTCCAATATTCAATAAATTCTGGAACACTCTCACATAGAAGCAAATATGCCAGACAATGTGAAGTTGAATGAATTAGTTTGATATCTAGTTAAGTATGTCAAGAATTTAATGTTGTTCAGAACAATCAACCTAAAAGAAATGGTAATAACAAGATTAAGCATTATTCATCGATTATACATTATTCATATTATGTTATTTGAAAAGGGTATTCTTTCTATGAGCCAAAGGCGTTATATCCCTGATACCGAAGGGAGAAAAAGATTCAGAATATTTAAAAAAATGGCGACCAATTACTTTGTTAAATATTGATTATAAAATTGCATCCAAATCAATAGCAGAGAATAAATGCTGTTCTAGGTAAAATTATTGGATCGGATCAAACTGCTTTTATTGAAGGGAGGTTTATCGGAGAAAATATTCGCTATGTTGAGGATCTTTTGGAATACACCAAGAAGAGGGGTATGCATGGAATTGTTTGTATGGTGGATTTTCTCAAAGCCTACGACAGTGTCGAGTTTGATTATATTGAGCATGTACTAAGAGTGTTTAATTTCGGAGATGACCTGATCCGATGGGTTAAGATGTTTAATAATGATATTAAAAGTTGCGTCCTTAACAACAACGTGTCGACTGGCTGGTTTAGCGTTAAACGCTCATGCAGGCAGGGGGACCCGATCAGTTGCTTGAATTTTTTACTTGTTATAGAGATGCTAGCCTTAAAAATTAGACAAGACAATGGTATACAGGGAGTTGACATTGGCGAGGCAAGTCAAAAACTAGCGATTTTTGAAGATGATACCACGTTGACTCTTAAGGACATAACGTCATTACAAAAAGCATTGGACATCTTTGAAGATTTCAGACTAATATCAGGTTTATGTATTAATAGAGAAAAAACAGAATGTATGTAAATTGGAAGTGATCGTCATAATAATGAAATAAACCTTTTTGGTCTGAAATGGGTAAAGATACCAAGTAGACTTTTAGGGATAAAAATATCATATGACACAAATGCAAATAACACGGATAATAAGTTAAAAATGCTTGAAAAGGTTCTTATATTGTGGTCAAAGCGAGATCTTACTTTTTATGGAAAAGTACTCATGATTAAGTCCCAGGCAGTGTCGAAGCTAATATACTCGATGACAATGACCAATACGCCTGATGATATCTTGACGAAGGCTCAACGACTAGTCTATTCTTTTTTATGGGGAGGAAAGGGTGAGAAAATTAAGCGAAATACTTTAATAGGGGATTTTGAGGATGGGGGTCTAAGAATGATTAATATGTTCACAATGGAGAAAGCACTGAAATTAATGTGGCTAAGACGTTTACTTGACACACGAACTAGTCACTGGAAGCTTATTCCTCAAGTTTATTTCAAGCGTCTTGGAGGACTGAGTTTTTTGTTGCAGTGTAATTATGATATTAAAACACTGGCACACAGTGTTCCTACCTTTTATATGAATTTGCTTCGAAACTATTCAGAATTAAGAAATATGTTGCCGCCTAGAACCAGTTCAGGGGTTAAAGGTGAAATAATTTGGAATAACAAATCAATTCTAATTAATGATAAGGAGGTGATGTACCAACATCTCATGGAAAAGGGAGTCATTTATATTGATGACCTTCTTAACGAGAATGGGGGTTTTTTACAGTACAATGAGTTTAAGACTAAGTATAATATTAATATCAACTTTCTTGAGTATTTTTCAATCATATCGGCTATACCAAATGATTGGAAATCTCTATTGAAATCAGATTTAAATTCGACCTTTGAACCCAGCATTCAGGAAGAACTCGTGTATTTGAAACTTGGTGAAAAACAGGTGACAATCTCTAGTATAATGGTTAAATCAATTCAAACAATATTAAATGGAAACAAGTTCTTGGAACCGTTATATAAAGACAAACATGATCGTGAATTAAAGAGAACCAATTATTTTAAAATGCCTTATATGTGCACGAAACAGAATAAAACGCGACAACTTCAGTTTAAAATACTTCATGGTATCTGCACTACAAATGCCTTTTTAGCGCAGATAGGCATTAAAAATGACTCTAAATGTAACTATTGTGCCTTTCGAGATACGTTAAAACACAAATTCTGGGAGTGCAAAAGGATTCAAATATTTCTGAAAGCAATCAAAGGGAATTTAAAGCGTTTATTTAAAGTTGACATCGATTTTAACGCCCAGGACATGGTTTTTGGAAGGCAAGCTAACAAGAAAAATATCTTACCAAATAGACTTACCCTTGCAATTAAGTACTATATTTTTATCAAAGAGTTCGACGAAGTGAATCCCAATCTGTATGAGGCGCAATTTGAAAAAAATATGTTTTATTATGTACCTGAACTTAAAAGTATGACTGCTGCAAATGTCTGAATGAATGGAGGTGGTGTGAAAAATATCTGAACTGTTCTAATTATTGTACTTGTACTGTTTGAATAGAGAAATAAAAAAAATAAAATAAAAAAATAAAAAATATTATGTTATTGAATTTTTTCTTTGTATTCTATGTTTCCCTTTGTATTATATGTTTCCCTTTGTATTCTACGTTTACCTTACTGCCACTTCACCAGATAGAACAATAGCTAAAAAATTAACTCTCAAAAGGTCCACCTCTCACTTTGGTATGCAGATTTCTTGTGATATGGATACTATACTATCCCTAATCATGGTGCCATTTAAGAAAAATGGTGACCATTTGCACATTTTTAGCTTTAACTCCAAAAATGGGCTATTTGAGAATAATTAGAACTTGACTCATTTCTCTCTTTTGACAATTTGTAGAGTATGGCATTATGGACAATGAATGATATTAGAAAGAAATATTCTAGAATTAGAAATGGCAAGTAATTGAAAAGTTGTTCTCTTTGTTGTGATCCTTTTCCGTTTTCTTGAAGATGGATGGCTTGAATGATGCAACAGAGAATAGGAACTTCACAAGACTAAATGATAACATTCAACTGGACTTTGGGGATGATGAAGTAAAGACAACGTTCAAGATGGAAAAGTATGTCATTTCAGGAACTGGCAGAAGTACGGTATATACAACAATGGTGAGACAAAAGAAGCTTGGTGGAGTAGATGGCCTAGCATTTACCATAGTCATTGGACCAACACCTATTGCATGGCAGAAAGGAGTGGGAGATGCAGGCCTCTAGGAAAAGGATTCTCCTAAATAAAAATCAAATTCCCATATTCAATAAATTCTGGAACACTCTCACATAGAAGCAAATATGCCAGACAATGTGAAGTTGAATGAATTAGTTTGATATCTGGTTAAATATGTCAAGAATTTAACCCTTTCACGACGATAGGCTCCATATGGAGCCCTCTTATGTAATACCTTTCAGGACGATAGGCTCCTTTTGGCACCATTATTTTTATCTATATACATCAATGAAATGACAATATCTCCAGTTCTATTCAGTATTTTTACACCAAATTTTGACAAGTTGTTCTAATGTGATAATCCTTACTAAAAATTGTATTTTAGTGATAAAATTCAGGGTATAGGTCCCGGGGCGTAGGCATTTTGCAGTTTTCCCCTAAAAACTGCTCTTACTTATCCGTCACCAGGGCCAACATTTTCCTCTTATATTCACGTCGGGAAAGGGTTAATGTTGTTCAGTACAATCAACCTAAAAGAAATGGTAATAACAAGATTAAGCATTATACATAGATTATACATTATTCATATTATGTTATTGAATTATTTCTTTGTATTCTATGTTTCCCTTTGTATTATATGTTTCCCTTTGTATTCTACGTTTACCTTACTGCCACTTCACCAGATAGAACAATAGCCAAAAAATTAACCCTGAAAATGTCCACCTCTCATTCGGTATCCAGATTTCTTGTGATATGGATACTACACTATCCCTAATCACATTTTTTAGCTTAAACTCCAAAAAATGGGCTATTTGAGAGTAATTAGAACTTGACTCAGTTCTCTCTTTTGAAAATGTGTCAAGTATGGCATTATGGACAATGAATGATATTAGAAAGAAATATTCTAGAATTAGCCAGTAATTGAAAAATTGTTCTCTTTGTTGTGATCCTTTTCCGTTTTCTTGAAGATGGATAGCTTAGTGTGCCACCTTAAGCGAGCTCTACAAAAGAAACAGCCAGAAATTACACCCTTCTCCAAGCTATTCCACCCAGGCAATGTCCCATGTCAGCAAGCTAATATGGTTCAAGATACCATCCGAGATACTCTACAGATGGAGATTTAGGCTGCATACTCCCCTGATGAAGCTGTATTGGACTATTTGGGGTATTGGACTATTTGGAGTTGATGTCACAACTGAATGATGCAACAGAGAATGGAAACTTCACAAGACCGAATGATAATATTCAACTGGACTTTGGGTAGGATGAAGTTAAGACAACATTCAAGATGGAAAAGTCTGTCATTTCAGGAACTGGCAGAAGTACGGTATATACAACAATGGTGAGACAAAAGAAGCTTGCTGAAGTAGATGGCCTAGCATTTACCATAGTCATTGGACCAACACCTATTGCATGGCAGAAAGGAGTGGGAGATGCAGGCCTCTAGGAAAAGGATTCTCCTAAATAAAACTCATCAGCATCACTAAGATAATATTTCCAGTAAATTTGAGCCATGGGTTCACCCTCATACCTCATCTGGATTCAGCCAAAAGTCTGTGGAACTCAACGAAACTTCTCAGTATCGCTTAGATAATATTTTCAATTGAGTAACTTAGTAATCAATTACGAAACACATGGCAAGAACTCTAGCTCCAACTTTAAATGACATTTATCGCTAAATTAGCTTACCATAGGCCAAAACATTGTCGTCATACATAAAATAATATAGAAACAGACTTATGAGACAAAATGACAGACCCTGATTCCCATCATCTCATCTCTCAGGACACTTTTGCGTAGTTGATGTCCCAACTGAATGATGGAACAGAGAAGACAATCACCCTCAACAACAACACACAACTTATGAGACAAAATGACAATCCCTGATTCTCTCAGGACGCTTTTGTAGAGCCATGGTTACACTTTTGTAGAGTTGATGTCCCAACTGAATGATGGAACAGAGAAGACAATCACCGTCAACAATAACAGACAACTTATGAGACAAAATGACAATCCCTGATTCTCTCAGGACACTTTTGTAGAGTTGATGGCACAACTCAATGATGCAACAGAGAACAGAAACTTCACAAGTCTTAATGATAATATTCAACTTGAATTTGGGGGTGATGAAGTAAAGACAACATTCCAGATGGAAAATGTAGAAAGGAGTGGGAAGATGCAGGCCTCTTGAAAAGACTCCAAGAAAAATCAAATTCTCAATAAATGGAAGGGAATGGAAAGGGAAGATGCAGGCCTCTTGGAAAGATATCCACAAGAGTCAGATCTCTAACTCCCAGAAAAATCAAATTCTCAATAAATGGAAGGGAATGGAAAGGGAAGATGCAGGCCTCTTGGAAAGAATGGAAAGGGAAGATGCAGGCCTCTTGGAAAGAGATCCAGAAGAGTCAGGCCTTGGAAAGAGATCCAGAAGAGTCAGGCCTCTTGGAAAGAGATCCAGAAGAGTCAGACCTCTAACTCCTAGAAAAATCAAAAATACTCAATAAATTCTGGAACACTCTCATATAGAAGCAAATATGCCAGACATTGTGTAGTTGAATTAATTAGTTTGATATCTGGTTAAGTATGTCAAGAATTTAATGTTGTTCAGTACAATCAACCTAAAACACGGTGTATAACCCAAACGCTCCTACATGCACGACGGAGCGTTTCATTTACGCGGAAACGCTCCGGAGCGAAATAAAATGGCGGCTAATGAAGATTCCACTTTGACCGTAAGTATTGTTTCTCTCGTTTCTCTTACATATCATATGTTATGGTGAAATATTATGTACCATTCGATGAACAATACTGTGAGGAAAGATCTTATTTATTCAATTTCTGGTGGTAAACTGTTACTTGCTTGATCAAAGCTCCGTAGTGTAGATCGAACGAATCTGAAGATGACGATTTGACCACAAATTACGAATTAAACTAGTATTTCTATAAAAACGTTAATCTTTCTGTTAAAGTAGTAGACCACAAACTCGTATATTCTCATTTCCTAAAATCCCAGTCCAAATCCATTACTTGTTCTCGAGAAATCGCTTGTTTTCCTCAAAACGCTCCGTCGATTTAGAACACAATTTTAGAAACGCTCTTACCATTTTGTTTTGATATCATTTTCAGATTATTAGAGAAGAGTTCTGAATCGAATCTATCTCTCAAAAACGTGTTGTACTTGTTAGGCAAATTGAAACATCTGAACCTGGTGGTGCTAAACGTGCAACTAGCTGATTTAAGCCTACATTAGATGATGTCATGCCTACATGTGTGCTAAATCATAAAACTATGGAAAAAAACTAAAATTCATATGTGAATTAATCTTTCTTCTTTTGTTGCCAAAGGGTATAATAGATCTTTTCTTTCGCTTCCTGAAAGGGAAAGGCAAGCTATATATTTCCTAAACTGATCTAGACTACCGGAGCGTTTCCAGTTCACTGTGTTAACCAGATCAGAGTGTTTCTCGAATATGAGAATGTCATCATTTTTAAGACTGGATTTTTGGTCATCAAATCACTATTACGATAATGTATGGTGCGTTGAAGCATTGGAATTTGACTAAAATATACGTTGGTGCTCTAATCTTGGCTCAACTAATCACATGTATCGACAAAAGGGGTTTTGACCGGTAGAATGAAAAATACGTTTTTGAATTTTGATAAATACGTTTTTGAATTTTGATAACTGTACTGCTTCGTACAGCTCTTCCTAATTGCTTCAACCGTCAACAGCCAGCCAAGTACAACATGAATATCAAGTCCATCGAATGGTATACTCGAAATATGGAACTCATACCTCTTATTCCCATTATTGGGGAAATCGTCAGATGGCTCATCATTCCCGCCAGCCAGTTTTCCTACTCCGGAGCGTTTCTTTGTTTAATATCAGTAATGAAACGCTCCGTCGTGCATGTAGGAGCGTTTGGGTTATACACCGTGTAAAAGAAATGGTAATAACAAGATTAAGCATTATTCATAGATTATACATTATTCATATTATGTTATTGAATTTTTTCTTTGTATTCTAAGTTTCCCTTTGTATTATATGTTTCCCTTTGTATTATATGTTTCCCTTTGTATTCTACGTTTACCTTACTGCCACTTCACCAGATAGAACAATAGCTAAAAAATTAACTCTCAAAAGGTCCACCTCTCACTTTGGTATGCAGATTTCTTGTGATATGGATACTATACTATCCCTAATCATGGTGCCATTTAAGAAAAATGGTGACCATTTGCACATTTTTAGCTTTAACTCCAAAAATGGCCTATTTGAGAGTAATTAGAACTTGACTCATTTCTCTCTTTTGTCAATTTGTAGAGTATGGCATTATGGACAATGAATGATATTAGAAAGAAATATTCTAGAATTAGAAATGGCCAGTAATTGAAAAGTTGTTCTCTTTGTTGTGATCCTTTTCCGTTTTCTTGAAAATGGATAGCTTAGTGTGCCACCTTAAGCAAGCTCTACAAAAGAAACAGCCTGAAATTACACCCTTCTCCAAGCTATTTCACCAAGACAATGGCCCATGTCAGCAAGCAAATATGGTTCAAGATACCATCTGAGATGGAGATTTAGGCTGCATACTCCACTGATGAAGCTGTATTTGACTATTTGGAGTTGATGTCACAACTGAATGATGCAACAGAGAATGGAAACTTCACAAGACTTAATGATAATATTCAACTGGACTTTGGGGAGGATGAAGTTAAGACAACATTCAAGATGGAAAAGTATGTCATTTCAGGAACTGGCAGAAGTACGGTATATACAACAATGGTGAGACAAAAGAAGCTTGGTGGAGTAGATGGCCTAGCATTTACCATACAGTCATTGGACCAACACCTATTGCATGGCAGAAAGGAGTGGGAGATGCAGGCCTCTAGGAAAAGGATTCTCCTAAATAAAAATCAAATTCCCATATTCAATAAATTCTGGAACACTCTCACATAGAAGCAAATATGCCAGACAATGTGAAGTTGTCAATTTATTGCTCTTCAACACAATGCAATTTTGAGCAACTTGATACACTCCATTTTAGAGCAGCACAGATAATCTCTAGAACAATTCAAAGCACTTGTAAGTCTAAATTATTCAGGTGTCTAAATTGGACTGGAAAACTTTTACAGAACAAAAAGAAAAAAAACAATGTACATAAATGCTTCAATTTTCTGGTGTAGAAAGGGAGCTCTATCAAGAATAGAATACATATTACCCATTAAAGCATCTTGAGAAATGTTATTTAATTTCAGACAGCCTTTATCCACTCTCCTTCTTATCATTGTTTTACTAATTCTGCAGAGCCCTCATTATCCGGTCAGCGCTAAATTAGCATTGCGATTTGCGTTGCGCTTGCGAATCAACATTATTCGCAAGCGCAAATCATGGTTTGCATCGTATTACGCGCTTCACGCAAACGTAACGCAGACGCAACAGTATGCTAATCGCAAATAAATTGGAAACGCGGGAAATTTAAACTTAGAGCTCAAAATAGATTTATCGATTTTTTAATGTCTATGTATATGTTTACGCCAGTGTCAATCAATGTTATCTATTTCAACTGGACTCAAGAAGGATTGGAAGCCAGGGTTCCAACTCGATATTCTTTAATCTCCATGCATGCATCATTTGCTATTCGTGTCTGTATAATTTGTACGACTGCATGGAGAATGACCCGATACTCTCCAACAAAACTATTGCTAGGTGATTGTTTTGCAGAATATCGGTGTTGCATTCTGGGAGCCAATCCTCCTTGAACTGGACTTGCATAACGCATATGATTGGTTGGTTCTTCGCGTGTTTATTTCCCAAAACATGATCCTGCACGTAAGACAATCAGTTTCCAGACGTAAAGCGCAAGATGACCAGTATAAAAGTAAGAAGCAAAAATTGGATTGAAGAAGAGCTTGAAATTTTAGTTTCTGAAATTGAAAGAAACAGCAGCATTATTCTAGGTCCTTCGGACAAAAACGTTACTGTTGAGAAACAAAATGTAACATGGGCTGACATAAGTAGACGTATTTCAAGTGTCGGTGTTGAAAGTCGCACTCCAAAGCAAATAATGTAAGTTTTTAGTTTTTACGCATTATACTTATGTATCCGGTTGTCAACAGTGGGGGGTTGAAAATAGTTTAGGTTACGTATGGGAGGATAAAGCATGGTTTCAAAGAAAATGACCATTTTCAAATTTCCTTTTGTGTGTGGTAACAATGGTAGTGTGGGAGGTGAAACCATGACAAAAAAATTATATAGCTTTCCCCCAAACGTTAACAATAAGATGCCATCCTTGAGTTTAATTGACAAGGCAACTACACACTACACCATTTGTTTCGTTGACTTGCCTATAAAAGCACTCGTGACGTCCGACTAGACCAGTTTCACCGGGATGTTCGGTTTATATAATATATAACACAGGCACCGGAAATGAAATCCCCTCACACACATACACTCTAACATTATATTAAATATTTTTAATACATAAGCTTAGAGTAATGTACAAGCTTAGAGACTGTGTGTGTGTGGGGGGGGGGGGGGGGTGTAATTTTGATGCGAGACTAGTATTGTACCTGTAAACACATCTTTGTTGGGAATATCATTTACCAAGGGATGATATTTTGAATAAGGAATAAGTTGTGTCCAACATGTCCAAAGATCTGGTTAAAATTCAAATTGAGCTGGTAAAATTCAATACGAATTACTACAAAATTCATTTATACCTTCAACAGCGCGTGCTTGGAACGACCTGCCTACACGGATAAAAGATGAAATCAACTTTACGAAATGTAAACTTGAACTATCCAAGTATATTTACGGAGAACTTAAAGGAAAGTATCTTATAAAATCATATAACATCGGAGATCATTTCTCAAATATCCAACATGCACGTATGAGACTCGGCCACACCCTTCTCAATTCCTATTACATTAAATGAGGTATGTGCTAACAATCCCGATATAAACCTTAACTCTCAAAATGTTATCAAAGACACAATTCTCTTTGGGAACAAATTTTTAACAGTTGATGATAACGAACGTTTGATTTTGGCACTACACAAATTCATAAAAAGTACAAAGAGATTTTAATTTTTTGTATAACCTGAGATGTCCTCTCTACCCAAGTACATTGTAATATGTTTGTTTTTTTCTTTATTGTAACTGCATGTATTTAAATTCTGTATTTAAATTCTGTATTTATATTTGTATCATGTAATTGAGAAGCATTTAAATTAGCAACTATGCTATTTTGCTAATCTGAATAAATATAGTATTATAACAATGTCCAAAGATGAATAACATTGAAAAACCAGGCCGCAGGCTTTATTTGTTACTTGCATTAAGTAATACATTATATTAAGTCTAAATTACCATTAACCAGTTAGCAGTAATTGAAAGGGAAAACACGTTTGTTTTTCACAAGTGATAATAAAAATGAAATATTTGTTTATTATATCATGTCAAGTTCATCTACTTTAAATGCTAGGGATTTAGTAATAGGGAGGGAGGTTAAGCTAGACGATATTTGCGAAATGGAATTGCGATATTTATTATAGATTTCACAAAACCAAGGTAGCATAATCGTGCACTTTCAGACTTGATTTTGATAAGTTTTGGTTATTTGTGTCTCTAATATTTTCAACCTATTTTTAGTTGGATGTCTCAAAGGGCACTTCCTAGATTTCTACAACGATAATGTTAAATTAAATAGGAAAACTATCAAGATTCTTGATGATATGTTTGCGATTTATATTGCGGCAGGGTCAGGGATGCCGCAAATAAAGTGGAGTTTGCGACATAAAAATCAACTGATTTACATGGATGCAACTGTGCGATGACTGCATAATACCAATTTGCGTACGGTTAGCAGTGTATTTGCGATGCGAAATGAAAATAGCGATGCGTCTACCGTGTAATAAGAAAACTTCGATTTGCGCTAAAGACGCAAAACGGCAATGAATTTGTGCTAGAGTGCCTTTGAGATGACCTCATAATATCGTTTTGCGTACGATTCGCTAAATATTTACGTTGCGATTGCGATTTGCGGTGCGTCGACCGGATAATGAGGTCTCAGGACGCCATACATTCTATTTCTTGGAAGTGTGCATGGAAGTACTGTATCAAAGACAACGCCACAGGCTTAGCATTGGTTAGATAGAAGCACGATGCTAGAGGTTTGGTTTTAGCAAGGATTAAAACTGAAGAGCTACAACAGCATTATGCCTTGGGATAAGATATTCTCTGAAGAGATGGATTGTCTGGAAGTGGAACGTCTTCCCAATAACATTTGGGCAATGACATATCTGAGAAAAACTCCAAGCGAAGATTAAATAGGTATGATCAGCTAAAAAATATTTATTAAAGAGAGAATCAGAGATAGCGAGCAGGCTAAACAAAAAATTGTTCCAATTTTAGAATATTTTTGGCTCATGTCATTCCTTGTCATGTCTATTTTCTAAAAATCAGAAAAGTGCGTACTTTATTCCAGGAAAACTAAAGATTTTTACAATAATATATTATTTTTCTATAAGAATGGTTACCATTCTTATTATTTGGGAGAATTTAAACATTTTTCAACTATTTTTTATCAATTTGAATCATTAATAACTTCACCAATTTATAACATATTGTGAATCTCTTTGGAGATATTGTATTTGATATTGTAAGGAATAGACTGGTCATTCAATTATACAAGTTGCTTGTAATTTTGTCACCCCCTATAGATCTGATTCTTCCTTTAACTAGATCGAAACATTTTAACAAATTTTACATAATTTACAATGGTAACACTGGATAATTCTACTACAAGAATAATGCTCCTCAGACCAATATTTCTTTGAATTTGATACTATTAGGGTAGATGGTGGAAAGGGGCAATTGAAGGGCATGTTCTTTTTCAAAATTATTGGGGAAGAAAACTTGGGACACCAAGTCTTCAAGTCTTCATTGAGCCTATTTTACCTTAGAAAGTGACATTTTTGTCAGTATCTGAATATATAAGGGTTATGTACTGGGAGGTTTTGGACACAGGGTTTATCCAAGGGAAATGTGTGTATCTCAAGAGGACACATGCTTCACACGATAGACATGGAACATTTTGTGAAAATTCAAAAGGAGGTGTATAATCGAACTCACAGGTCAAATTGTGGAACATGTTTCTTAACGGCTTGAAAATACTATTGTAGGAAAAGTAAATAAAGGTGAAAGTACAGTAAAAACCTCTGTTCATGCAGGGATACATATTTCCTCCGGGAAATTTTTTTTTCAGGAGCGGGACTGGGATGGATACACCGTGCTCGTCATGTACCTAGAACCTCAGAAGGTATGAAATACATCCAAATATATATTCACATGCCATTTTACACACTACAAATATTTCAGAACAGTTATTGTAATTATCTTTTTACCATTATCCAAACTTTTATCATTTCATTTATATCATCATTTGAGGAATCTCAATAAAAAAAATGCAAATCAGTTGAAGAGCATTGGGCTACCAATGGGCCAAGTGTTTAGAAAATAAGAAATATTAAAAATATTAGAAAATATTAGAAAATATCGAAATTATAAAAAACGTGCCTAAACATGTAGCAAAAAAATGTAGCAAAATTGGAAATACAGAAACAAGAGCTGTTTGGTATTTACCCTAAAAGATCTGTTTCCATTTCAGTCCAATGGACAATAAATATCCAAAGTCAATCAATAAGTAGAATGCAAAACTATAATCACAATTACTGCAAAGTTATATTGTTATCAGACTAACTGCAAAGCAACAAAATAAAGTACAGTAAAAACCTCCGTTCAGTAAACACTCAGAGCAACAATGATAGTTCACTATATAGGCAGGTGTATACAACAGAAAGGGACCTCATCATCACTTTATGAATGATCAACATTAACAGCTAAATTAACTACAAAATTAGGTCTATGAACTTATAGGCATTACAGAAAATGCTGTTAATGTCTCAAAAGAAATACAATCCTCGAAGAAAAATGAAGGCTCCTGATGCATCTACTGAGCCTATATTTTCAGATGTGTAACACTTCTCCAGATGAGCTTCATAGACTGGGTCTTGCTGACCACATGGAACATTCTGTGAAAATTCAAAAGGAATTGTATGAACTCAC